TTGTTGAATGTATTTTCTTAATGTACACTGAAAGCATATGCACCAAAGACAAATTCCTTGTGTGTCCAATCACATTTGGCCAATAAAGAATTCTGTTCTATTCTATTCTATTCTATTCTATTCTATTCTATTCTATTCTATTCTATTCTATTCTATTCTATTCTATTCTTTTTTTTTAAGCATCCCCAAATATAGTACAGTAATGTACTGAATTAACATTACCACTAGGTGCCCATCCTAGAGCTGTCTATGGTGCTGAAAATTACATTCTCAGTCTGGAGACCCAGTTTGGTGTAGTGGTTAAGGCACCAAGCTAGAAACTGGGAGACTGTGAATCCTAGTCCTGCCTTAGGCAGAAAGCCAGCTGTATGACCTTGGGCCATTCATTCTCTGTCTGTCTTAGTAATAAGACAATGACAAACCACTTTTGCTCAACATTGCCAAGACAACTGCAGGGACTACTCCCAGCACTTGCCAGGAATCAAGACTGATTCATAGGAGCAAAAATGAAAAAGAAAGAAGTGAGATATCTTATCTCCATTGTCCATTATCATTTCCCAGACTAATGCTCTCCAGATATGTTGAAGTACATTTCCCATCATTCCGGGTCAACTTTATTGTTTTACCGGAAACTATGGGAAATATAATTAACACACCTGGAAAGTACCACATTTGGCATATCTCATGACTGGAAGGACCAATCTAGGGAAGACCGTATCATTCTTTGAAACAAAAGGATGCAAATACAGATACATGTACAGATTCTCTCTACTTTACAGAGCAAAATCTGAGTTATGGAGTTTTTACTATGTTTTGTTCCAAAGTCAGATTTTTTAAACAACAAAACTCAATTGCTTTTCCTGATAGATAGATAGATGATAGATAGATAGATAGATAGATAGATAGATAGATAGATAGATAGATAGGATTCTTTATTGGCCAAGTGTGATTGGACACACAAGGAATTTGTCTTTGGTGCATATGCTCTTAGTGTATATAAAAAGAAAAGATACATTTATCAAGAATCATAAGGCACAACACTTAATGATAGTCATAGGGTAAAAATAAGCAATCGAATCATACTAGGAAACAATTGATATACTGGTAAATCGTAAGGATACAGCAACAAGTTACAGTCGTACAGTCATAAGTGGGAGGAGATTATTTGTTTAGCGGAGTGATGGCATTGGGAAAAAACTGTTCTTGTGTCTAGTTGTTCTGGTGTGCAGTGCTCTATAGCGTCGCTTTGAGGGTAGGAGTTGAAACAGTTTATGGCTAGGATGTGAGGGGTCTGTAGATATTTTCACAGCTCTCTTTTTGACTCGTGCAGTATACAGGTCCTCAATGGAAGGCAGGTTGGTAGTATTTGTTTTTTCTGCAGTTCTAGGTATCTTCTGAAGTCTTTGTCTGTCTTGTTGGATTGCAGAACCAAACCAGACAGTTAAAGAGGTGCAGATGACAGACTCAATAATTCCTCTTATGAATTCAATCCCATATATTAGCTAAATTTAACAAAAAACGAACTGAATGTAATCCCGTCTGTTCAGATCAAATTCTAAATTCATACTGTAGCATAATGGGAACTGTGTGATAGAGCCATGTTGTACATAATAGAAAGGACCTTGGAGATCTTCTGATCTAAGCAGAGACCCTATACCATATTATTTTAGTTGGCAGACTCATAGACTGAGACTCCTAAGAATACGAACCCCAAAGTCAGAATCAAAGAACTTCTTTGAAAAAGAAGAATAGAATATTCTTTACTGGCCAAGTGTGATTGGACACACAAGGAATTTGTCTCCTGTGCATAAGCTCTCAGTGTACATACAGACAATAAATTGATATAATCATAAGAGATCTGTAAGTACATTTCAACATAATGATTCTCTGAATTCACAGAAATTGTAAAAGACCCTAGCTTCGATTGTTTCCTTCCCATTAAAGACACTCTGCCAATGAAAAGCTTGAATCCATTTAGATATTGATTTCTCAGTCCATTGATTGTCCCGAATAAAATCCTACCTAGGTCCCATTTACAGTTCTTCAGTGTATAAAACCTTGAATGTTATGTCTATGGAGATTCTCAGTCATCCAGGTCATGGTTGTCTCAAAGGTGCTTTTTCAAGAGGCAACTGGACTTTCTGTTTTTTCTTTGAAGACATTTCACTTCTCATCCAAGAAGCTTCTTCAGCTCTGGACAAGCTTCTTGGATGAGAAGCGAAACGTCTTCAAAGAAAAAACAGAAAGTCCAGTTGCCTCTTGAAAAAGCACCTTTGGGACCTGAATGTTATGATTAATTAGAATAACAGAGTTGGAAGGGACCTTGGAGGTCTTCTAGTCCAACCCTCTGCTTAGGCAGAAAACCCTACACCACTTCAGACAAATGGTTATCCAACATCTTCTTAAAAACTTCCAGTGTTGGAGCATTCACAACTTCAGGACGAAAGTTGTTCCACTGATTAATTGTTCTGTCAGGAAATTTCTCCTTCGTTCTAAATTGCTTCTCTCCTTGATTAGTTTCCACCCATTGCTTCCTGTCCTGCCTTCAGGTGCTTTGGAGAATAGCTTGACTCCCTCTTCTTTGTGGCAGCCCTTCAAATATTGGAAGACTGCTATCATATCACCCCTAGTCCTTCTTTTCATTAAACTAGACATACCCAGTTCCTGCAACTGTTCTTCATATGTTTTAGCCTCCAATCCCCTAATCATCTTTGTTGCTCTTCTCTGCACTCTTTCTAGAGTCTCCACATCTTTTTTACATCGTGGCGACCAAAAGTGGATGCAGTATTCCAAGTGTGGCTTTACTAAGGCATTACTAAGTGGTATTAACACTTCACGGGATCTTGATTCTATCTCTCTGTTTATGCAGCCTAGAACTGTGCTGGCTTTTTTGGCAGCTGCTGCACACTGCTGGCTCATATTTAAATGGTTGTCCACTAGGACTCCAAGATCCCTCTCACTACTATTGAGTGAGGAACCACCTATACTGTACCTGTGCATTTTGTTTTTCTTGCCTAAATGTAGAGCCTTATTTTTTTCACCATTGAATTTCATTGTGTTAGATAGCACCCAACGTTCAAGTCTGTCAAGATTAAGAACAAGAGAAGAAGGAAACTGGGGGCCCTTTGTTTTGGATAAGGACTATTTAGCAATTTTTATTTATCATCAGACAAATGTAGCACTGTTAGACCTTTTTTGTCCATTCCCTCGGTATTCTTTTCCAAAAGGAACGGCAACCTTTTGAGATTAAATAATGGCTTGGTTTTTTCCCATCTAAAATCCGATCGTAAAATCAAGGCGTTTTGTTTTTGTTCCTTCAAAAAAAATTATGTGTTTAATCTCTACCTATAAGAACAAAAAAGATTGTGGAAGTTAGCCAAATAGTTAGCAAAGATGGATGAAACGACCTCTGATGTACTATATGTTCTTTTTCAATGAGCACAAGATGGCAACTGAGGGTCATTTTAACCTGCATTAATAATACAGATGTCAGCGTTCCAGAAAAACCCCAACTCCAAGTAAAGACTCTGAAGCAAGCATTTTTCAAAGTTCTATTTACTAGGATAGGTAAACTGGCACATCTGGGAAAACCCGAATCTGAGAGGTCCAGGTTTTCCCTCAGTAAATCAACCCCCCCCAAACCATCCCCTCACTCCTCAGTCAATCACATGTTCAAATCACCATCCGTCCCATCTTGAGACAGCACTCCAACCACTCCTTCTCCAGATGCAGGATCGCCCTGACCTTGACCGACAGGAAGAATGCTATTATGTCTACAGACAACCCCTCTACTAAATCCCCCCCTCCTACTTTCCCACACATGAGAAGGTGGCAGCATGGAAGCTTCCAGCCTAATATGGCTTCCAAAGCTGACAACAGAATTGAAAGACTTGTTAGGGAGACGGTAACTGAGTAACTTTATGTGTGGAGACCATAATGTTATATGTCTCTATCAAGAGAAGGGGAAGAATATGAAGGAAGAAAAAGAGCATTCTCTGGTCTGCAGGAAATTTGAAGGATTTATGGATAGGGAAGTGCCATCCTTACAAAGATCTGGCTCGAGCCTTCAGAACAGTTAGACCCACAACCACAACCACAATCCAGCACAACTAAGGGCACCACACAGGATAAGGCCAAATGAATGTGTTGTGCTGTGGTCAACAATCTCAGAGTTACTCAGTACGAACAGAGTTTCTTCGGATATGTTGAGCAAGATGGTACGTGGATGTGTGAGAGAGTGCTGCCTCAAGGCGCCATGCATTTTTTTATTGCTCTTTTATTGTGCTTTTATTTGATTGTTGGGGGTGGCATTTTTATTGTTTTGTGAGCTGCCCAGGTTGTGGTTACAACAGGGACAGCTGTATAATTCTTTTAAAAACTAATAAGATAAAAATGATCTTGCAGCCTCGTAAATAAGCCAACAGATATTCTAACCCCTCTCCAAGAGGCTAGTAATCCAGATCCTGTGTTAGATATGATAAGAGAAATCTTTTCTTTGAGGCCAGGATCTAAATCTTTTACAATTGAACTTTAAAACTGGGCAGGCTCCAAGAGGCTAGGCTGGGAGCCTAATGAGATTAGGGACCGGGCCTAATGAGATTACTTGAGTCTCCACTCTGACCTGGTACAAAATGGAACATAACATATTGCAAGGAAGTTCGATCTAATGGTTAAGACACCAGACTAGATGTCAGGAGCTTGTGAGTTCTATCCCTTTGTTGGAAGGAAACAGTGTTCTGTGTGCCTTTGGCGTTTAGTCATGCCGGCCACATGACCACGGAGACGTCTTCGGACAGCGCTGGCTCTTCGGCTTTGAAACGGAGATGAGCATCGCCCCTTAGAGTCAGGAACAACTAGCACATATGTGCGAGGGGAACCTTTACCTTTTACCTTTATGCATATTGTCTTGAAATTTGTCCTTTACATCTGAAAGAGTTTCTCGTTTTGGATATCCAAAATCTTGACTTTGTTCCTTTCTCTCTCTTTTTTTTCTTTTTCAGGCAATGCATTTGTTGTTAGCTTGGCCCTGGCGGACTTAGTGGTAGCCGTGTACCCTTATCCTCTAGTCCTTGTTGCCCTTTTTCACAACGGCTGGTCATTGGGCGAAACACACTGCAAAGCAAGCGGCTTTGTGATGGGATTGAGCGTGATCGGTTCCATCTTCAACATCACCGCCATTGCAATAAACAGATACTGCTACATTTGCCACAGTTTTGTATACAATAAAGTGTACAGTTGGCGGAACACAATATTCTATGTCTGCCTTGTCTGGGTTCTCACGGTGGTTGCAATCGTTCCGAACTTTTTCGTTGGCTCCCTCAAGTACGATCAAAGGATCTATTCGTGCACCTTCGCCCAAACAACCAGCTCCTGTTACACCATTGCCGTTGTCGTCATCCACTTCATCCTTCCGATCACCATTGTGAGCTTCTGCTATTTGAGGATCTGGATTCTGGTGATACGAGTCAGGAGGAAAGTCAAATCGGAACTGAAGCTGAAGATAAAACCAAGCGACTTCCGAAACTTTCTCACCATGTTTGTTGTCTTTGTGATCTTTGCCTTTTGCTGGGCGCCGTTGAACTTAATAGGCCTGGCTGTGGCCATTAATCCTTCCGAAGTAGCACCCAAAATCCCCGAGTGGTTGTTTGTGGTGAGCTACTTCATGGCCTACTTCAACAGTTGCCTTAATGCAATAATTTACGGGCTTCTGAACCAAAATTTTCGGAAGGAATATAAACGAATTCTAATGTCCCTGTGGCTTCCCACGCTGTTTCATCAGAACCCTTCCAAAGGGGGAGACAGAAACATAGAAGAGCAAACTTTCTCCTGCTTTAAATAAATAATAATGACCAAATTTATACCAGGACGTTGTAAATAGATGGAGGTGAATGATAAATGTGTCCCCTCCCATCGCATGGAATCAAACTGAGTTCTTTGTATGTTTGTATGCCTAAATCTTATTCTGCCACTCCATCGTGACCACATGGGACCGAGCTCTCAACAAAGAAGATTCTGTTTACATTTTTATTCACAAGGAACCATTTTAAAAACGGCTTTGGAATTTGGAAAGTAAACTCAACGTTTTGTTCGCTTGCTTGGTTTAAGTTCAAAAACCTACGTGGGAGGTTGATGTATGGACAGCAACAACTGTGATCTTTGTTGAGTTTGTCCAAAATAGGACTCTTAAAAACAGGAATGTGTCTCTTAAGGAAAGAGGAATGAATGTAATTTAATGATATTCTTTCTTCTTCTTCTTCTTCTTCTTCTTCTTCTTCTTCTTCTTCTTCTTCTTCTTCTTCTTCTTCTTCTTCTTCTTCTTCTTCTTCTTCTTCTTTAATGGTGGTTATGATGATTATTTAAACTCCCTTCAGCTGAACGCTGGTTCAGTCTTACATAGTACTAAAAGAGTAAAATGGGAATAACAATGTCTGTTCCTCAGAGTTGACTTAATTATTGTTTATTATTTATTTATTTATTTATTAAATCTATGTTCCGCCCATCTCATTGTCAAATGACTCTGGGTGGCTTACCCAGACCCATTAAGTTTTAAATAAACAGAAATAGAATAAAATCAGAATACCATGGGGGTAGAGTTGGGAATCTTCTTCCTGGTCCACTAATCACCTCCAACATGGAATGCCTCCATCAGCGTCCCAGGCCGGTCAAAAGGGGCTGGTTTTGAGGCTCTTATGGAAGGCCAAAAAGGTGGGAAGTAGCTCTCAACTCGTGGGGTACAATGTCCCAGAAGGCGGGAGCCAATTAAATGAATTAAATTGTCAGCTCATGAGAGGTTTGTTGTTGTTTTACATATTGTCAGAATTATAATCCAAGTGGTGGGACTATAGCCATGAAGATTCAATTGGAAGATTCAGGTAGATCTTTCACATCTCCTCTTCCCAATACCTTGTTTGTTGTTGTTGTTCTCTCGCTAAGTCATGTCCAACTTTTCACAACCCCATGAACCATAGCATGCTAGGTCCCCTGTCTTCCATCGTCTCCCAGAGTTTGCTCAAATTCATATTCATTGCATTGATGACACTATCTAATCAGGGGTGGGATTCAAAAATTTTAGCAACCGGTTGCTGGGTGGGCATGGCCATGGTGGGCGTGGCCCACTCGGCCTCCTGCACCATGGCGGGGAGGGTGTTTTCACCCTCCCCAGGCTCCAGAGGCTTTCCTCGAGCCTCCGGGAGGGCGAAAACGGTCTCCCCGGCTCTGGAGGCCCTCCGGAGGCCTGTTTCTGGACTTGCAGAACTTCCAGGAGGCTCATGTGGGCGCTGCACTTACCTGGCATCCAAAATGGGCCACATGGAGACTCCGGGGAGGGGCGGGGAGGGGTGGGCGGGGTCAGCCAGTCCTTGTAACTACCAGTTTGACGAACCAGATTAAAATTAACATCCGGTTTGAACAAACCGGCTGAATCCCACCCCTGTATCTAATCATCTCATCCTCTGCCGTCCCCTTCTCCTTTGGCTTTCCATCTTTCCCAACATCAGGGTCTTTTTCAGTGAATCCCCTCTTCCCATTTGGAGGCCAGAGTATTTGAGCTTCAGCTTCAGTATCTGTCCTTCCAAAGGACAGTCAGGGTTGGGTTCTTTTTAGGAAAATCTGATTACTCTATACATAAGTGAGTTGAGCATTGGGCTTCCCTGGTGTCCTACAAAAATTCACCCCTCTCACAAATCAGTCAAGGGATTTCCTCTCTGTCCCAACCAGTCTCATTCCAGAATTACTATAATCTTGCTGTGATGGGAACCCCAAAGAAATGAGAAGGACTAGTCTTGAGAATATTTTAGTGTTTACAAATCTTGCTGGGTTTGTAGAGATGGATCCATGGGAAAACTATCCCCATTCCTAATGGGTGTGCTTTAAATGTTCCCATGATTATCTTAAGTCAACTTAAGTCAGTAATCATGGCAGACAAAAGGAAGACTTAAAAATAAAATACAGATTGTATTTTAAATACAGGTAGTCCTCGACTTACAAAATAGTGACCGTTCAAAGTTACAACGGCGCTGAACAAAGTGACATGGCTATTTTTCACACTTATGACCGTTGCAGCATCCCCATAGTCATGTGATTGATATTCGTATGTTTGGTGACTGACTCACATTTATGACGGTTGCAGATTCCCGGGGTCATGTGATCCCCTTTTTGCCACCTTCTGACAAGCAAAGTCAATGGGCAAACCAGATTCACTTAAGAACCGTGTTACTCATTTAACAACTGCAGCGAATCTGTTAACAAATGTGGCAAGAAAAGTCATAAAATGGGGCAAAACTCACTAAACAGATTTCTCACTTAGCAACGTAAATTTTGGACTCAATTGCGGTCGTACGTCAAGGACTTACCTGTAGGTATTATATTTTTATATATGTGATTAAGGGATTACAGGGCTATAAAAAGGAGTTTTCATATATTTTATATATGAGAATGTGTTTTTTTCCACATCGGGAGGCTCAATGCCTTCCAACTGTTAGAATCAAATGCAATGTTTGTGCTTATTAAAAGGATATAAAAGAACTGAAAGGTTAAAATTTCATAAATGAAATGTGTCCTTGTTTTTACAACAAAATCGAAGTATGTTTTTGCTCCGGTTAAGTAATGAATATCCACTGTATTAAGCATGTTCCTTTTTCTCCATCTCAGCTATAACACTGGGATATAGAAATCTGTTATATCTTTGTGTATTGGGTGCATATTTACCTCACTTTCTTCTTTAATGGATGAGAAGAAGTTCATATCTTCTTGCTCCAACACGAATTAGAGTGAAAATAGTATTTTTCCCATATCGTTCAAGGGGAAATTTTCTCACACCCATGGGAGGTATACTGATCCTGTACGGAACTTGGATAAGAAGAGAAAAACCACCTATTACACGGATGTCAAACTCGCTGCATCACGTTCAGAGATGGTATTCATCCGGTTCAGACAGGTTCGGGCGAACCAGTAGCAGAAATTTTGAGTAGTTTGGAGAACCCGCAAATACGACCTCCAGCTGGCCCTGCCCTCCTGCCCCCACCATTCCCTGTCCTATATTCCCTTGTTTTTTAGTTCAGCTGATTCATGTAGCAGAGCAAATTGCCACGCCTCAGCTGAGCTAAACAACAGCTCAGCTCACCAGTGCTGACACCGAGGGCGGTCTTTGAGTGCTGTGCACGCACACAAAGCACACTCTCATAGAACCAGTAGGAAAAGATTTGGAATCCCACCACTGGTCCCATTGCTGTCACATGATGTTTTGCAATGTTTTCCCCCTTTGTGCAGAGCTGGGTTTCAGCAGGTTCTGACCAGTTCTGGAGAACCTGTAGCAGAAATTTTGAGTAGTTCGGAGAACCGGTAGTAAAAATTCTGACTGGCCACGCCCCCATCTATTCTCTGCTTCCCAAGTCCCAGCCAATCGGGAGGAAATGGGGATTTTGCGGTAACCTTCCCCTGCCACGCCCACCAAGCCACACCCACAGAACTGGTAGTAAAAAATTTTGAAACCCACCACTGCCTTCGTGGAGCTGGGGTGGGCGTGGCCTGCATGTGACACATCTGGTCCACAGGCCGCCAGTTTGACACCCCTGACCTCAGTGTTCCCCAACCTTAGCAATTTCTAGGTTTGTGTGTAGAACTTCAAATCCCAGAATTCCACAGCCAACATGGCCATCAATGAGAATTCTGAGAGTCGAAGCCCATATTCCTGGAAGTCCCCGTGGTTGAGAAACACTGCATTACTTTAAAAGTTCAAATAGGACCCTTTTCCTTTCTTCATTCAGTGTATCTTGGCTCAAGCACCATTAGTGATCATGCCTTTTCAACAGGAAACTCCACTGAATTCAATCAGACTTTATATGGAATATGAGTATAGATTGTATACTTTGTTAATGCATTTAACTATTGTAGTTCTAAAGACAATAGCCAGAGAGCTCTTTGTTTTTGAATAAAGACATTTACAATTCTATAAGAAGCTATCACTTTGGATGGATCTTTTTTTTTCTTCCCCACAATGAATATTTCCCTTGTTGGCATTATTTCTTTCAGGATAAATAAGGCATCTGAGGCTATCCCATTATTACTGTTATTGACATTCTCCACTTTCACCCGAATCAATTCTCAAAATAGCTAACCCAAAGGAATGAAATATATAGATAAAAGTGTAACTAAAATAAACCATAAATCATAAAATATCAGTGGAAACTGAAATGTGGGCTGTGTTATATTTTTTTTATCAAGGCACTTAATGCTGCAACGTATTTCACTCCACCAATTTCTTTCACCTCTTCTTCCTGGATTTTTTTTCACCACGTAATTCTATTTCCCTTGGAATCAATAGGCGGGAAATCATTATTCAGGTAGTCCTCGACATACGACTGCAATTGAGGCCAAAATTTCCATTGTTAAGCAAGACTTAAGTAGGTTTCCCCCCCATTTTATGACTTTTTTTGTCACAGTCGTTAAGTGAATCACTGCAGTCGTTAAATTAGTAACACAGTTGTTAAGCGAATCTGGCTTACCCATTGACTTTGGTTATCAATAGGTCACAAAAGTTGCTCACATGACTCCCAGACTCTGCAACAGTCATAAGTACATGTCAGTTGCCAAGCATCCCAAATTTGACCGCGTGGCCATTGGGATGCTGGGACGGATATGAGTTTCAAAACTGGTTGTTAGTCACTTTTTTCAGTGCCGGTGAAACTTTGAACAGTCACTAAACTTTAGGACTACCTGTACCTGTTTGAGGGCTTGTCAGTGTGGTTGCTCTTTGGGAAGGGAGTCACTATTAGGAATATAAAATATGATTGACCATTTTTTTGCTATTCCCATTTCTCCCTCTCTCCAAAGATGTAGTGGCTCAGTGGCTTAATGACACTGGAGATGGTGTTAACTCCAGCGTTCGAACCCTAGCACTGTGTGGCAGGGTGAGCTCCTGACACTTGCCTCAGCTTTTGCCCACTTTGCAGTTCAAAAGCATGTTTTATGCAAGTAGATAGCTCGGAACCACTTCAGTGGGGAGACAAGCTGTACTCTGTGCAGGCAGTCAGATTCCTGATGACTCTGAACTTTCCCAATTGTGACACCCACTTGCGAGGCAGTTCTGGGAAGGGACGGAGCCTTGGGGGGTGGGGGGAGAGACTGCAGGAAGTGCTGCGTATTTTTCTCTCTGATGTGAAGTCAGATCGCCCTCCTGTGGCACACTTGGGAAGTGCCAGTTTCCTATAAGAGGACTGGTAACTTGGCAAGTCACACTACTACTCTGCGATAGCATTGTGGTCACCTGGTTACTGTAACAATACCATGCAATCAGTGGTGGGATTCTGCTGGTTCCCACCGGTTCAGGTGAACCAGTTGTTAAATTACACCACCACCCCTGCTATCAAAGTGCCTGGACGCTGCACTGTAATAGAGAAACGGGCAATGGAGTGGCTGGCATGAGGGAAGGAGATGGCCGTTTTCCCTCTTTCTTCACCCTACTCCTCCTTCCCTTGTGTTGGCTGCTCCGTTTCCCATTTCTCCATTTCAGTGCAGTGCCCAGGATCCACTTTGATGGAGGGGTAGTGGTGTACCGTATTTTTTGGAGTATAAGATGCACCAGAGTATAAGACGCAGGTTCATTTTTGGGGAGGAAAATAGGGGGGGGGAAATCTGCCTACCAGGTATTCATCTGGCTAACGTCCTTAGTCTGGTCAGCTTCAGCACATTAGTTTGCTGGTTTTTTATCCCCTGCTTGGGGATAAAAAACAGCTTCTAAAGAACAGCTGAGAGTCGGAGCAAAGCATGGAGATCGCTTCACTCGCTAGCGCCTCATTAAAGCACAGCAGAGAGTCGAGGGAGCAGGCAAAGCTGGGAAGATCGCTCACTAGTGCCTCGTTAGCGCCTCGTTAGGGTTGAAAAAAAGCTTTGAAAAAGCTACTTTCGGAGTATTTATTTATTTATTTATTGCGATTTATATGCCGCCTTTCTCCCTGGGGACTCAAGGCGGCTTACAAAATGTCAACTTCAATACAAATCACAATACAATACAAAATTAAAATCTGTAACCCAATTAAAAAAAAATTTAAAATTATACCAGTGTACCCCCAAACGGATCAGTTTAATTGGCAGAAGAGCCACGTCTTCAGCTCGCGGCGGAAGGAAAGAAGGTCGGGGTCTGTCCTGAGCTCAGTGGGCAATCCATTCCAGAGGGTTGGGGCTCCCACAGAGAACGCCCTCCCCCTGGGGGTCGTCAGCCGACATTGTTTGGCTGATGGCACCCTGAGGAGGCCAACTCTGTGAGACCGCACAGGACGATGGGAGAACGGCTGGAAATGGTCCTGCAAGTACCCCGGG